AATTTGTGCTTTTGAATATGCTTGATTCCAACATAGATTGATGTATTCCTATGTTATAGGACTTTTTTTTCCTCAACTCATTTATTTTTGCTGTTGTTGATCTAACTGAGCTTGAAGTAAATGACAAAATGTCACCTCGTGCCCTTTTTAATAATGCTTATGCAATAGGATACCACACCTGCTCTGGGTCCTTTGGTGTCATTGGTACTACTTACCCAGACTTAAGGAGAGAATCAGGACTCTGTAAAGTCAATTCCATATTGTGGAGCCTTCCTTGTTAGTGCAGTTATTGAAAACCTAGGAACATGTCGTCCTTTTGCAGAACTGTGCTCTTGTCCAAAGCACATGAGCATTTGATTGTGCTTAACTTATCCACCTAGGAAGTTCTTTCCATTACATCTCTGTGCTCTGTTCAGGCAGTAAATCAAAAGGGTGGGTTTTTTTACCCACATGATGATAAACTAAACGATTTACTTCTTTCTCCCCTTGTACAGTCTCGCAGCGAGAGGGCTGAGCCTGATTGCTCTTTAGCCTTTATATGTCATAAATAAAATTTGGGATTGAGAATGAGTTTCTGCCAACTGGATGTGGACTCATCCTAAACTCTTACACAAACTGGCAGTCAGGCTCAGAATCATTGCAAGAGCAGCTTCCCAATTTCTGTAGTACCTGAGGGCCTAAATGGAACCTCTAACAACCATCTCTTGAGTGACACCAATAGAGAATGACTTCTCCATTTGCCATTATTGATATTTCTAAAATTAAATGGATTTGAGAATAGGAACTGAAGAAGCAGGCTCTGATATCAAGGTCTCTCACAACCTTCCTTACTGCTCTCTCCTTTCCTCTTTGCTTGTATTCCTCAGTATTTATATGTCTTTGCCATTAGATCGATTGTTTTGTTGTGTCAGTGATATTATATTTATTATTCCTAGGGCAATACACTGACAAATTCAGGAACATACTTTCTCCTTTTTTATACACACTATTCCAGAGCAGGCTTATTAAATGTTGAAACAATACTTGCAGGAATCTAATGTACATGCCTTCCTTTCCAGTGTGGGAGGTGAATTCATTGGAGACTGGAGCTGAGAGGAAGGACAGTATTAATATTTTTTTTCCTTGAGAGAAAAAACAGTAGTAGAATTATGGACAAGAAATTTGTTATGTCTGTGTTTAAGGACACAAGAATTGATCAGCAGCTTTTCTTAAAAGAAGGATAATGTTAAAGAAGTACCTGCCTTCAATTACTGAGTAAATGCTCAAGGCAAAACACAGTCTATAACTAGCTTGTAAATGGTTTGTTTATTCAAAATGCAATGATGACTTCAGTGTTATTAAGCCTGCTTGGGCAATGCTCTTGAGCAACACGTATTCTGGATTATAAACATGCAGCATCTGATTCCAGCATTTGGTTCTTCTCTCTGATATACTGTTGTAATTCAGGAGAAACTGCACTCAAGGTAATGAGCTTTTCCACTTCAAAACGGGAGCAGAGCTCAGCTCTGCCGTCCCCAGGTGGCAGTGTGCGCCCTGTATAGACAGAGAAGCCCGGGTCGTGGCTCGGAGAGACCCAGGTTACCCTGTGTGGTGTTGGGGGGGGGTGGGGGTGGATTCACTTTGGCCAAGTTCCATTGCTGCATTCAAAAAAACCCACTTCTAGTCTTTTCTTCCAAAAGTGCCTCCAAAAGCCTGTGCAGCTTAACTGAGTGTTCCCGTAAGGTTCAGAATGAAAAGGTCATGAATTTATGTTAAAACACATCTAGATGGTGTCTGTGCTAGAAACAGACATTGGAATAATTTCTATTTGCAAATTGCAAAGGCTGTTCTTCTGTATCTGAAGCAGCAGCTCAGAGCAGAATCACCACCAAATCCTCTATATTCCACTATACTTACTACTGATCTGCAATTTATGGAAAAATAGAATATTACTGATATCAGGCACATTTATAAATATCAAATTTATTTAATTTTATTGAAGACAGTTTTTTTTCAATGTGTCCAAGTAGTACAAATAGAATTTATTTTCTTTCAAGTATGAAACTTATGGAGGGAAAGTTACAATGTTAGAAATCTCTCATTAAAAGAAAATAAACCCCAACCTTCCAAAAAACTCAAGGTAATTTTGCTTACTTCATTTTCAAATTAGAGACTTACATTTCACTGTAGTTCTACAAGTTAAATACCACCATGAGGATGTCCTAAATTTATATTGCTGTAAGACCTCTGTTTTGAATTTCTCTGTATTTTGATGCATCTCTAATCTTTTATGACAGTGATAGTTCAGAAACTCATTCACTCTGACTGAAATGTGTTCCTCTGTGAAAAAGCAAAGATGATCACAAATATTCTTTCAAAGATAACATCAAGGAGTTTATTTATGGGAGTATTATTATAGATAGACCAGGAAAAAAAAAGAAAAAAGAGTGGTTAAAAATTCTTACTCCAATGATGTCATTGGAGTAATTTTATCAGGACTGAAAAAACTGCAGATCTGTAGATTAGTGATAATGAGTGTTAATTTTCAGAGAAGTTTCAACATGTGTTGTAGTTCTGTATGTTCCATTCTCTTTAAAATAAGGATGTCAATGTGTGTGTCCAGGGACAGTTAATGGTTCTCTGTGCAGCAGGCTTGGTTCTCTCAGGTGATATTCCAAAGCCAAGTACCATGGAAAATATGGCCCAGCATTAACTTCCTGCACACTCGACTCACCTTTTTAAATAAAATCAACAAGTGGTCTCATGCAGACATCAAACTGCTGAAACAGCCTTACACTGTTATCTACAGTCTTGCCCAGAAGCAGATGAGGGAGAAAATGAGCTACAACATCATGGGGTTGGTGCTGTATGTTAGTTGAAAGTGCTTTGCTCTGGCACTGATGGGGATGTTCTAACCTGTATCACTGTACCAGTGGCTACAGAACCTGCCCTCTCAGCTAAGGTGTGAGGAAATGGTACTAGCTAATGAACATATCAGAAGGAACCTCAGCAATTCAAAATTAAATTATTCCAGTGATAGCAGTCTAAAGAGCAAATACTCTTAAAAGCAGGGCTCTGAAAGAGTGAAAGAGCAAGGAACCATCCTGTGGGATCAGGTATGTGGGAAAAATGCAGAATGCATTTTTATGGTAGCAGAGAAGAAGAAAGTTGCTATATAAACTGTGCCAGGAGAGCTTTGAAGTCCTCTTGCCACACTGAAGGGACCAATAACAAACCTAGGAACAGCAAAAGGCTTTTAAAATCTAAACTTTATGTGAGAAAACTCCTAGTGTTTACAAGTGGTGTATAAGTAGTGTCTGGGGGGCTGGGAATGTGAGTATAGAGGAGGCTGGAGCACACCCAGCACCCCCAGGCACTAAATGAGACAGACTGAGTGAGGAATGAAAGGGCCAGTGGTGAGCCAAGAACAGCTGAGCCTTTTTGGGGACACTTTGACAAACACTGTTCACTGCCATGTGAAAATATGTAGACTGTAAATGCCAGGGTGCAGCACTATTCTGAGCAGAGGGCTATGGTAATGGGGAAGTGTGGTTTGGGTTTATAGCTCAGTAGTTGGAAGGTTTACTAGAAAAATGAGATTATGGCTCCTTTTCTAGTAAATGTTCAGAAAGCTGGAAAATAACTGCCAAGCTTGGGAAGAAAAATGAGAGCCACTGTTGCTATTGTAGGACACTGTTTGATTTAATTTTAATACAGGAATTAATGCTAGTGGGGTCTGAGCAGGAGATAGCTGGAAGATGAAAGCAGAATCTCAGTATAACTATGGAGTTTTCAATCCTCACAACTGTAAAGAAATGTAGAAAGCATGAAACACAAAAGCTAAATATCTGAAAACAAGTAGTAGAATTCAACACCTGTTATTTTAAAGTATCATATATCTAGGACAATCTCTTGGTGTTAGAGGGTCTGTCTCAGGAAGTTTGATTGCTTAGGGTTATCTACTGCATACTTAGCTGCTACTGCCACAGCTGATGAATGCAAATCAGTCTTTTGCTGTCTAATTACTTTAGAAACATCTCTCAGACATATTTATTTCTGGAAAAATTCTGTATTTGTTACAGATAGGTAGGATATTTAGTGTTTGGGGAGAATTTACAGGAAAAAATCCTTGTTGTCTCTTCCTCCATAAAATCAAGCAGGTAAATTTACCAAGATAACAAATCTACAGCTCTGGCAAAATACATGCCAGATATGTCTGTTTCATCACTGATCCACTATTGTTTGTTTGTGTAGACTGCTAACTCTGCTCTTTACACCTTGGTAACATATTCTGCACATTGTCAAAAAAACCTCAAGATGAGGCTCTCCCCACCATCAGTGTTTTACAGGATGTCTTGGAAGTGAGCTTCAAGTATGTACTCTGATGAGAAGCCTAGAGAAGGATGACATGGTTATCTGATTCAGTCTTTGGTAATTAAAGGCAGGAGAAAATACAGAAAAAATTAATAAAATGTATTTAGAAACGAGTAGGGAATCTAATAAGTTGCATGTTTACTGCAGCTGAGTGAAAATCTTCATGTCTGCGTGTAACAAGCCCAGATTTCATCTATCAAAAACGTCCATGCTGGAAATGGCACAGTCTGTAGCTGAGGGGAGGATTATTTACTTTCCTGCCTCTTCACCTCCAAGTGCACAAGTAACACATTTTATATAGATATGTGCAGACTGTCAAATGTCTGATTGCTATGGGTGAAAGCTGACTAGCTATAAACCAGCACCAGTTTGCAAGATGAATTCCTTAATCAGCATGGTGCTGGTCCTGGGCTAATAGCTTCTAAGCGTGGGCTTAGTGCCATGACACTGAAGCTCACCAGCATCCATCCAGTTCTGCCTGCAGAGGAGTAGATATATCCCTCCCTGTACCTGCCCATTTACTTTTGTTCTTAAATAGTCTCCTACCAGGAATGCTGATAACATTTTTCTGCCTTTGCCTGTTACCCTGTCACACATTTGGCTTTGATGCTGAACCCAGGCAGTTGACTCGACATTTCCCTGCTGTGGATGGCTGCTCTCTCAGCAGGCTGCATCACAGCTTCACCTGGATTAGTGATGTTTTGGGTAGGATGTGCAGGAAGGAGATATTCTCTGCAGCGGGAGCAGGGAATTATTTTATTTAAGGTACTGGTCATTTCTGGGTCAGATTGTTTTTTGAATGAAGGTGGTATGTGAACTGCAAATGGGAATTCCAGAGAGTGTGTCATTGAGGTGCAAACAATTTGTGGGAAAAGACATATACATATGAATATGGGGGAAAAATATTTTAAAGCTCTAGTAGATGGGAGGAGAGGCAGCTTTCTCCATTTTGCCTCACAGCATCATCAGCAGAGACAGACTCCTCCCACCCACTGGGCTCATCAGTGTAACTCAGTGGGAGGTGGCTGCATCAAGCCAAGGTGCTCCTTTCCCAGTAAGTGGGCACATACATACACTCCTGCTGGTGATGACCCAGGGAGAGCAGCTACCCAGTATATTTCGGGTTGTGTTGGTGCATCTGGCATCCAACTTAAAAATTAAGGGACTTGACTGTCAAGCAGATGGACTCCTTGCCTTCATTGAAAAGAATTCAGCATTCTACAGGCTTTGAGCAATAGAAAATAACAAAGGACTGGGAAACTCCTGGCAGCAGTAGTTACTGGCTGGTCAGGATACCCCAGCTCTCCCCTCACCAGGATTAAATAATGAGCCCTATAATGCACCACGGATCCCGACTCTTCCACTTCAGGTCTGCCAGTTGGAGCAGCTGCTGGATCCACAGCTCCCCACCTGAGGAAAAAGTGGGACTAGTGGTGAGTTCTGTCTTTGAGCCCTCACTTTTTCTCTTCCTCATGCAAATCCATCTTCTTAGAGGAGCTTTCTCTTGCTGTTCTTTTCCACATAGAAAATATATGTTTTATTCATCCCAACTAGAAACCAGCTCTCCCCAGGAACTCCCCTCAAAGAAGTTCCTCTCCTCCCACCTCCTAGACGGCAAGCTTGTGCTTGAGAGGAAGGGAATGCTGTCACAGCATCCTAGAGAGACATGCATCACAAAACCCCATTTCTGTGGGGTGCCTTTTATAAGCTTTATTATAGTCCCCAGCACAAATACTCTAATATGTGATTATAGAAGACTAAGTAAAATTAGTTAACTAAATTAAGCAGCAACTCTCTTCCCTATTATATCAACTCCCAGTGTTAGTAGATACTCAAAGCTCTTGTATATGATTAGTGGTAAGCTGCACTACTGTAACTATTAAGCAAATAACACTGTTCCTATAAAGATTTTGTTAATAAAAAGTTCAAGAAATAGGCACAAAATATACTGAATCTGTAGGAAAATAAAAAAATTTTCATGTCTTTTAATGTGCCTTTTATGCTTTTACATGTGTCTTGCATAAGAATATTCATGCATGGCATGGACTAAGGTACTTTTCTTTCCAACTACCACAGTTTACTAGTGCGTCTAGTCTGAACATGTAAAATATTCCTCTCTGGATTATTTTTCCATTAGAATCTGCCACATCTCTGGAATTATAGCTGCAGAAATTCAATAATATCAAATAATTTGTTTGGCAATAGACAGCTTATTCGGAGAGCATTTCGATTTTTTTAGCTTTATTTAACCTTATTTCCTTTCATTTAGGAGACAATCATTGGATTCTCAGCATTTTCACTGGCAGTTCTTGGACCAGCTGGATGGTTCCTGTGCCACCTTCCAAGCTATAAAAAGAAATAGAAAACATCCCTTCAGAATTAAGATCTAAAGGCTGCAATAAACTGTAATGCTCCAAACTTGGATTCTCTTGAAAGCCCTGATACCGCATATGGCTAACTAAAGTCCCAGTTCACACACTATTATCCATCCTGTATGCCAGGTCCCAGGTCACAAAGCTTTTGCAGATTTTGTAGAACTGGACCCAGAAATTAAATGGTGTAGGAATGCAAAATAGTGGCAGGTCTACTCTGCCATCACCTGCTGCATTGAACCAGTCTGTGTGTACCAGTCTGAATCTGTGATCAAGTACTGCGGGAAATGGAAGATCGGCAAGGAGGATTGTAAACACGCTTGAGCGACCTGTAGTTTGGGTCTCAAAAAAAACATATATCGTACTAATTGTTGTTTGACCTTGTGTGTTAGACAAGTAAAACTTCTGTGTCTGGGCCTGTGATAGCCTTAGAGGCACCCTATCAAACATGCTTGAGATTCTTGCCCAGCTGTGGGCAAGGTTAAAGCACAGTAGTAAATTATGCTTGTGCAAATCCCTGAAATACAGGAGAAAAAAGCAGGTTGAGTGATACTATAGCATGGATCAAGCTTCACAGTGCCTGTGTTCTCGCCTGTGTGTCTCTTCTGACTGCTGCTTCAGTGATCCCTAGTTGGCGAGGTAACAAAAATGAATTTACTCTTTGCATTTAATCTGTGGTTTTGTGGTTGTTCCTGTGTCCTGCCTGTGTCAGCTCTTACTGGTACTGTCAAAGCTTTAAACTAAATAAATGGGAGAAAATACAGAAAAAATATTTTTATAGTCATCTCAGACAAAAATCCGGAGAGTTTAAGATTTTCTCCAAGGTTTCTCTTTAATCTTTACACATGTTCTTTTGGTGTGTTCCCCCACCCCGTCTACTCTTCCACAAGAATAAATGTTTTTCTGCAGATCATGATTGTTAGATACTTCACTTTATTTTCAATGTCTAGATTAAAATTTGTGACATTTGAGATATTTTCCCATGATTGCTATTTATAATAAATGCTATGATAAATACTTTGAAGTCTAGACTATATTTGAGAAAAGTACAATAAATAATACTTGTTATGCCACATTACATCTGTTATGAAGGAACGTCTTTAATAATTTCATGTCTGTCTTGCAAAAAAATACAGAATATTAACCTATCTCACTTTGTGTTTCCCACCAAGGCTCTAGTCTCTGATAGCCCACCCTTCATTTCATCTTACATAGCTCCTGGACTCCTATGTGGAGCAAACCAATTTGGAGGAGAGGCTAGCTGGCTCAACTGGCTCCTAGGGAGGCAGTCTTCAAGCACACAAGGAAGATCAATCAGTCAGCTGTGGTTGTTACTGAGCCAGGGACTTGATGTGGCACGAGTCCCAAACACGGTACACATGTGGTAAAACACCTTAGCAGCGTTGAACATCACATGCTTTCTCCCCACTTCCTTCATGAAAGCCTCATGCCTTCTTTTGCTCTCTGTCACTGTTTTTGCCCAGCAGAGACCTTTTACAATTATTTTCACTTTGGTGTAGAAATACTAAAGCAAAATAAATACTATGCTCTGGGTTTCTTGGCTTCCATGTTCATGTTTTTGCCTTTGGGCCATGACACTGTGATAGGTTTAAGAATGCAGTATTTTGACACTTGTAATTCTGGTTTCATTATTACCATTACAGTGTGCTTTTACGCTAGCTATGTAGGTAGGTGGCCTAGTTTATAATATAGATCTGCACAAGTCTGACATTAATGGTAAGAAACAAATCCAGTTTATTGGGGGGAGATCTAATTCAGCCAAGGTGGTGCTAATTTTCACAAACATGGCGTGGTAGCTGTCACAAAGACTGTCTCTCTTAGAGCAGTAAATCCAATCTCTGATTTTTTAATAGACCGAGTACATGCTTATCAGGTTTGTGCTAGTTCTCTATGCAGGTCACTATGTATTTCTCAAAAGTCCACTGCTATGGCAACAAATTAAGTATTTTGTTCACTTAGAGGCTAATGACATTACTCTAAAAGGGAAATTGAGGGCATTTATCAGAGATTTTTACAGTGACAGATACTGACAAATGTCATAATAAAGCTAACATCCACAGACTTAGTTGAAGTAATTATCAGAATAAGAAGAAAATTGTAGTTTTGTAAATATAACCAAATAACCACTGTATTTCTTAACAATGTTTTCTTTTCCTGAAGTCTTAATTATTCTAAATTGGGGAAAGAGAGAACAAATATTAACATGGCAAACTGGCTACTCTGTTGGGAACACAGTACTAGCAATACACACAGAGCCCTTTACTGCTCCATGTCTCATTTTAAATCAAACCAAGCCAGTGATGACTGAAATGAATCTGTCACATGCCAGATGGCATAACTGATAAGGGTTGGTGGCTTCAGCCAAGCTTCTGCTCACATCATGATCACTTCTGCCATTACTGCCAACTATTCTATTCTAATTCTCTACCCTGCCCTAATTTCTATCTTACTATACTCTACACCTTCCTTCTCGGAATATTTCCTTTCCTGTCCTCTCACAGCAGGAGATCTCGTTGATTTTTTTCTGTAGATAGTGCTGTGTGGTAGTACCATCGAAGGCTCAGTAGGAAGTTTTCCTCGCATTTTTAAGTCTCAGGACGGAGGCTGAGACTGGATATCTTCCCGTCAGAAGAAATTATTTTCCTGCACAAGATTATACAAGCTGTCAGGAATACTGTGTTATTTTTGTGCATAGACATAATTTTCTGTGAACAAGAAGAGGTGCTTTTCCTGTTCACTGTCCTTTGGCTGATGCCGGTTAACCCAGGTGTCTGAGCCCTGAAGAACAGCTCCAGCAATCATCCTGTGTCAACCATGATACATGCTGTAGCCTATTTGAGTTGAGCCTAACTGTCTAGTTTAATCCTAGACAGACTTTTCCCTCAAGCAATTATCTATTTTACAATCATTCATGAGGATTAATGCTTACAGAGAGCAAAGATTTAGAGATAAATTAAATTTCATAGGGTCTAGCTATTGCTGTCAAATACTCATGTCTGAGCCTGAGGGACTCTATCTGCTGTTTGAATCTGACAGAGAGGAGGTTGGTCCCTACACAGGATCTATACAGGCTCCAGTCCTGTACCAAGTCCCCTGCATCAGCATTGGTTTAGCCTAGTAAATACCCAAAAAGCACCATGTGGATTGAAAAGTCCTGAGGGCCAGAGAAGCTTGCCTTCTGCTCCAGTTGACTCTGTGTTTGACTTTTCTTACTGGGATTACCATTGGCTCATCAAGCAGACTCTGCTCTCCCTTGACTCCCTCCATGCCACAGCCTTTAATTCAGATAGGCTTGTAGTGATTACTTTTCAAACATGTCCCCACCTCTACTGTGGCTTTTAATATCCCTATCACCATGCAGTTATTGATAACTTCCTGCCAAAAAATGAGGACGTTTCAAAAAATCAAGACATTGGCTTAAAATAAATGAAATTGGAAGTTGGCTGGTTTTGTTTTGTGTTGTTTTATAAAACTTCCAAAGCATTTAGGCCCTTGCCTCTCATTTAGGCATTGAAATCCTCATTTGTTTCAAACATTGTTTATATTGCATTTGAGTCTTTGAATATGTCAGGCAAGAACTAACTTTCATTTAAAATTCAACTAGAGATTCTTGTAATTACCTGACTATGGAAGCTGAGCCTTTAAGGAAACATCATGGGAATGTACTAAGGGTTGGTAACAGTGGCCACGTCTGTATATAAATGAGTAAATATATACCTGTAAACAGATAGATGGGTTTTTTTTAATATATGAATACATTTACTTTAATTTATGAACAATTTAAGGAATTTTCTGTACATGATTCAAGGTAGGATAGCTTAGGATTTTGTATTTTTCAGAAAGGATTACCTTTCTAAAAGTAGATTTGCTAATGCTTGGAGATTAAAAAAAAATCTCTGTTTGGAGCTGAACACTTGAAAATGTAATTCAAAATGACAACAGTCATATAAATAGTGACTTCGGCTCTTGATGACTTCTTTTCCCCTTCCAGTGTTTTCATTAATTTATTCTTGAATTATATTGTAACTACAATGCACACTGTTAGGCAGACAAAGTTTAGTTAAAAACCAGCACAATGCACAGAAACAGGATGCTCCCCAACCCTTCCAAACCTTATTTACCTTATCCTGCAAAAGCCACAGCAGGAGGAAATATGATAATTAAGTCTATTCAGCCAGTGAAACAGAGAATGCAGTTTATAACTAATTCCTCAGTGAGGAGTAGATGTATTTCATAACTATCTTGAATATATTTTTTCACCTTAGTATCCAGACATCCAACTGACTGATATTCAAGGATCACCTCCATCAAGTGCCAGAATGGTCTCTTCCAACATGGAGATTGTCAAGCACAGGTCCAGGAGACATGCACGGCTGAACAAGGTGTTCCTGACCAAAGCCAAGAAGAAAAGCATACAAAATGTAAAAGAAGGAGCAGGTGACCTGTGATTCATGCAGAAACACTTGCCAAGTGTGCAGGGATGGGGTTAGGAAAAGCAAGGACCACTAGGAAATGAATAGGTTGAGGGAAGATGAAGAACAATGAAAAGGGATTTTATGGAGACAGCAGCAGCAAAAGGAAGGCTAGGGAAAATGTGGCTCTGTTGCTGAATGGGGCAGGGGACCTGCTGATGAATGAAATGAAAGTGGCCAAAGTACTCAAATTCTCCTTTACTTTGGTCTTTTCTGGTAAGACCTTGTCTTCAGGAATCCCAGGCCTCTGTGGTCAGTGGGACATTCTGGAACAAGGAGGACTTACCTGTCAGTAGAGGACAATCAGATAAGGGAACATTTTAAAACAACCTGACATACACAAGTCCATGGGACATGATAGGATGCACACACAGCTGCTGGAGTTGGCCAATGACATGGTAAGACTGCTTTTGATTATCTTTAAAAAGGACAAAACAACTGGGAGAGTCCTGAGAAACAGAAGAAAGCAAATGTCATTCCTATTTTCAAGAAGGACAAGCAAGAGAATCCAGAAAACCATAGGTCATTTCTCTTCACCTTGATCCCTGGGAAGATGATGGAGCAAATAATCTGGTAAACCAATTCCAAACACATTAAGGACAAGGAGGTGATTTGATGCAGTCACTGTGCATTTACAAAGGCAAAATCATGCCTGACCAACCTGATAGCTTTCCACAACAAAATTACTAGCTCAGTGGATGAGGGGAGAGCAGTGAATGTTTATCTTTACTTTAGCAAAATTTTCATCTGTCTCCCATAACATTGGCATAGACAAACTGATGAAGTATGGACTAGGCAAGTTGACAATGATATATATTCAAAAGTGGCCAAACAAACTACCAGGCACAAAGGGTTGTGATCAGGGGCAAAATGTTCACCTGGAAAGTAGTCACTAGTGCTGTACTGCAGGGGTCAATACTGGGCTGGTACTGTTTCCTATCGCTGCCAGTGACCCAGATGATGGGACACCCTCTGCAGATATATAGATGATACAAAACTGGGAGGAGCAGTTGATACACCGGTTGGTTTTGCTGCCATTCAAATGAGTCTCAAGAGGTTGGAGACGTGGGCCAACAGGAATCTCATGAAGTTGAAAATTCAAGTCCTGCACATCAGGGGCAATAACTAAGCACCAGTACAGGTGAGGCTGGCCAGCTGAAAAGCAGCTCTGCGAAGAATGACATGGGGGTGCTGGTAGTCACCAAGTTGACTGTGAACCAGCAATAAGCCTTTGTGGCAAGAAGGCCAACAGAACCCTGAGCTGCATTAGGAAGACCATGGTCAGCTGGTCAAGGGAGATGGTTATTCTCCTCTACTTAGCACCAACTAGACCAGTGGTATGTCTAGTTCAAGTCTCACCAGTACAAGAAAGACATGCTTATACTGGAGTAAGTCAAGGAAGGGCTAGGTGATGAAGAGACTGGAGCACCTCTCATATAAGGGGATGCTGAGAGGGCTGGGATTGTTTAGCCTCAATGAGAAAAGATTTGGAGCAGGGAGCAGTGGGGGGTCTTGTCAGTGTGT